TCACAAAAGTTACGGACACACATACTTAGCCACAGATGTAACGGACGTATAAACGTAGTCACATAAGTAAAGGACACATATATTTAGTCACAAAAGTTACGGACACACATACTTAGCTACAGATGTAACGGACGTAAAACGTATAATTTAAAATCAACAAAATAAATAAGTTTGTTAAAATAATTTACCGTCAATAGTTTTATTTATCTCTTAAATGAGGTGTAGTTTCCAGTATCAGACAACGCACGTTGTTGCTGTAGGTCTATAATACATGTTCTAGGGGAATGCAGGTAGCGTTTCAGACGGTCACTTTCACTATCAATCCACATGTTCATTACATATATTTATGTATGTATGCAGCCACACGCGACAGGTAAATCTAAATTAACATGTCAGTGTATAAACTCTTCTCTACTGACGTAGAATTAACCTTGGACGTCCCTGAATGTCGCTAAGACAGTAAGATGAATGCTCTCCTCAATGACACACGTCACGTGTCTACCTCACGCTGACACGAAATGACGTTTGTTAGGAGTGTTCCAGACCACAGTTTTAATTTAGGGACATTTTCCATAGTGTGATGTTATCCGTAACTACAGTTATATCAACACTTTCCTGTGGGAAATATTTAGTGTGAGATGATTTTCCGAAGTCGACCAAAGTTCTTTTAAATGGAGCCAAGGACATAGCTAAGGTTAAACACTAGAGGTTAAGATAGGCGAATTTCACGTGGTGCTTGGTAGGGCATGTACGTTGTCACGTGACCATTGTTCTAGCAATATACATGTAATTAAAAGTGTACCACGTTTGTTATGTTAATCAGTTTCCTATGTCCGTATGTAGTCTTTCAGGGTCATTTCAGCATTGAACAGCGCTGCATTTGTGGTCCTATGACGTTTGATCATATGAAAAAGGTCTTTTGTCAATTACAGTGTCATAAATGCTATTTCCATACTGAAACAATATTGTTTGATCCAGTGTCGATATAAATCCAAGCTGTGTGACAGATGAATAAGATGATGGCCGTCAAGGTCAGCCATCGGAACTAACCGCTCTTAGAAGGGTGTACACATGACACCTAAAAACAGAAGCTTATGACTGTACGTGGAAATGATGATAGGGACAGTATAGTCAAAAGTTATTTAAACTCTATCAGCAATATGCGGATTACAGGAAGTCTCTTACACAATCATGACATTAACCCGTCACTGCCAGGAGAACAATGTTAGGTTAAACATCTAAATTCTACGGTGCCACAGCTATAACCTCCCTAACGTACTCTCTCCATTACATACGCCGTATACGCCACGTGCATAACACGTGCAAGTCAGCCGCTATACACTTAAATGTGCATCTGGACCAGCCATATATAACAGCAGGGAGCAAGAACGTGTGCTCCCTTACACTAATGTACGACTGAAGTAAACATTAAACGAAATGGAGACTTGGTCTCCTGTGATTCAAGGGAAACACTTTTGGAATAACTTGTTACTCTCCATATATCCGTGATGACAGGAGAGATTAAAGACTGACAGATCAACAAATACGTTGTAATAAACTGCGGAAGGCGGAAAAAAATCCTCAAAGCTGATGATCACTAAGTTATAGAAATATTGCTTCAATACGTCTTAGTGAGCATTCTGATCTTCCAGAGTTACCTCCCTTCATTTCACTTGGTCTGACGGTAGAGTGATGACATCCGATTGGGGTCGAGAATATTTAGTGAGACGCTATATACTTTATCCATACAGATCTACTCTCGCCTCGTGAAAAACAACATCTCAACATCACAACATCTACACACTCAATAATCATGCCCCCTTGTGTTCAAGCGACAATACCTGATACAACACCCAGACTGTCTCTCTCTCTCTCTCTCTCTCTCTCTCTCTCTCTCTCTCTCTCTCTCTCTCTCTGCCTCAGTTCACAAGTACGTATACCGTGATTAACCTCAACAGTCTCTTTGACTCAATCCACATGTAGTCACCGTACGGTACCCAGACACTCACTGACTCAATCCACATGTAGTCACCGTACGGTACCCAGACACTCACTGACTCAATCCACATGTAGTCACCGTACGGTACCCAGACACTCACTGACTCAATCCACATGTAGTCACCGTACGGTACCCAGACACTCACTGACTCAATCCACATGTAGTCACCGTACGGTACCCAGACACACACTGACTCAATCCACATGTAGTCACCGTACGGTACCTAAACACTCACTGACTCAATCCACATGTAGTAAGCGTACGTAACCAAGACACACACTGACTCAATCCACATGTAGTCACCGCACGTAACCAAGACACTCACCGACTCAATCCACATGTAGTCACCACACGGTACCCAGACACTCACTGACTCAATCCACATGTTGTCAAAGTACAATTCCCAGACACTCACCGACTCAATCCACATGTAGTAAGCGTACGTAACCAAGACACACACTGATTCAATCCACATGTAGTCACCACACGGTACCCAGACACTCACCGACTCAATCCACATGTAGTCACCGTACGGTACCCAGACACTCACTGACTCAATCTACATGTAGTTACCGTACGGTACCCAGACACTCACTGACTCAATCAATGACACAGTCAACACCCAGACAATCAATGACACATTCAACATCCAGACTCAATGACACATTCAACACCCAGACAATTAATGACACATTCAACACCCAGACAATCAATGACACATTCAACACCCAGACAATCAACGACACATTCAACATCCAGACAATCAACGACACATTCAACATCCAGACAAAAATTGAAAATTCAACGTCGATATTCTTAATGACGAGATATCCATAGTTATACGTTTTGTTTGTTATTTTCAGTTACCGATTTCTTGGCTAGTGGATGCTTCCTTTCGGCTTGCTTCTCCCTTCATTCACCTTTCAACCCTTTTAACTTCCTAATCGCCCAACTCTATCCCCAGGTGTTGATATCCCCGAATTCCCCATAAAAAACATAAATCTAACCCAAGAAAGGTATGAATACACTAAGCAGAAATATTAAGAAAAGTTGGGTGAAAATACTTCCTAATCGCCCAACTCTATCCCCAGGTGTTGATATCCCCGAATTCCCCATAAAAAACATAAATCTAACCCAAGAAAGGTATGAATACACTAAGCAGAAATATTAAGAAAAGTTGGGTGAAAATACTTCGAAATTTGACTTAAAATTAAAATGACACGATTAAATATAATGAAATAATAGGAAAAAAAACTCGACTTGGGTAAGTTCATTTGCCACTACGGGAAAGTATTCTATTCGGCGCAAACTAGATTTTTTGTGACTTAATTTTGCAAATACATGTTTTACAATGGCTTCAAACATACACATATAACTATAACCCTGTGTATTGTTCCTTACTGGGTTACAATCGATTACATTATATTGCCTACTTATGCGGTAAAATAAACCTGATACAATGGTGTACAACACACTATACTTCAATTAAAATGCTAGATATTTCTCGGACGAATGCTACCATTTTATTTATAGATTAAACGTAACTGACGTAAATGCTATTTAGATTGTTCTCTCATTGGTTACCCAGCAGGTCCGCTGGTATCGTACTCGTGTGAATAATAATCCAACAAGAGTTATCTCTCTTTGTCGAACTAAACCACAACCCCTCTCGACTGATTGAGTGAAACGAAGGGCAGTAACTCTTGGAGATCATAATGGCGGTTTATATACCTTTTAAAATAAGAATGTCATTTGTGTTGTGCTCTTATATGTATAGGCATTTATTCCACGGTAACGAACTTATCTGTGTTGCAAGGAAAAGACACAAACATCAAAATGAAACCAAATCCAAGTCAATATCTTTGTGCACACCTAAACGTCCTGGGTTCGATTCACCGCACGGACGTGTAAAGGTATGAGGGTCATCCGCTTGACCTCGTTGATTTCCACCGGTTACTCCAGTTTCCTCCCTTGCGCACACATATCTTTGCCAACTACAGTGATTGATATAATTTCATAACTTTTTTAGTAATTGTTGTAAAAATAAATAGATAAATAAATAAATTTTATCCTTTTAGAAAATCTTTGAGTGTATGTGACTGAAAAATATTGCTTTTTTGTTTCCTACGTCTGGAAGAATTAAAGTAATTTTATGTAAAGCTAGTAAATAATTCAACAGAGACCGTTATTACAATGATATAATATATTTACGTGTACGTCTCAAGCTGAAACCAACAAACTTATCTCCCCAGAGAACATCTCCAAGGAAATAACAACCAACACATGTACATAACTAGAAATCTAAAACAGTCCATTTGTTTCCACTGCACAAACAAGAGTAATTATTGGTATCAGATAGATGATGCATTGAAGCGTCCAAAAGTCTTTCTTTTTAACTAATCGTGACATTAAAATCAATTATTCTAAACCTCTGTTTGCTGTTTTTGAATATGTGTTATTTTTGAGCGATGAAGATATCAAGGCGTTACGATTTGAAATGAAGTAATTAATTCCTTTTTTTGTATGTTTGTTAAGATTTTGACAGATTTTCTTTTATACATATTGTGTTTATAAGGAAGAAAAACAAAGTTGTGTCCCAATTTCCAGCTTTTACAAATATCGTTGAAATTAATGCAAAAAATCATTTTTTTTAATCCCTAAATTAGCAAATGTTTTTTTTTTAAATCGGAAATTAAAATTACAATTCATGTGCTTATGGTGAAATAAGAAACAATGATAACACATTTGTGGAAATTCGTCTATAAAAGTTTTAAGTCTAAGCTATTTTGCAATTGAATAATTATGCAATGTGAAATAATTACACAAAATGAAAGTCGATCCAGGGGAGGTAACTCTCCTTATCGCTCACAAAACGGGACGGGAGATAACTCTCCAGACAGCGACTGTGACTCACCTGTCCGCTGCACAGGTAAACATCCTCTGCGCATGTCCATAGGTGTGCGTCCATGTTTGAAAGCTTGGAGAAGAATTTCAGCTATGTACTGAAGTAGATATATTGTATACAATGATTAGACTATTATTACTGGCGCTTTTACCAGTCGGTAAGTTAGAACACACAACTGTAATATATTTGACGATGATTATTAATCAGTTAAAGGTGAGATCAAAGCTACAGGTATGTATAAACTACTATGAAATGACTCAGATACTTCCGGAAGTGGATGTTCTAATGCAGGTTTTGGTAAAATAAGAAAACCCTGTTATAGTACAAGTATATCTTTTATGTACTTAATGGTAGACCCTGTCTGTATCTGTTGATAGGCAACAGAGGTAGGCCATCTCTGTATTAACAATTGATTTACAGGTGGAACCTGTATGTATTTATAGGTAGACCCTGTCATGTTTACAGGTTGACCATTTCTTCATTTACAAGAAGACCAGATTCTCTGTATCTATAGGTAAATCCTTTTTGTAGGGAGGGTATTTATACAGGAAACCCTTATTGTATTTACAGATAAACTCACTAAATTAATAGACAGACTATTTGGTAGACCATTCAGTATTACAGGTAGAAATCTCAACAGACATTATCCTTGACATCCTCTTTAGCTTTGCCCCCCCCCCACCTCCCCCCAATTCCTCACATTCACCACTGTAGTGTAATGTAGTCAGTGATCGTAATTAGTATTTGTGGTTTGTTATAGCCATTTGTGTCGACCCAGAAGTCACAATCAAGGACACCAACCCAGCTACAAAAGAGTTACCTGATGGTACAAAACAGATTGTCATCAATAAAAACAAAGATGCTTACTTAACATGTGTTGTACACAACAAACAAGCGGATACTGAGGTAAGAACACGACATCCCATAATATCCTTACAATAACCCCATACATTGTAATAATCCAAACCCTGCCCATTGCTGTTCAGTCGTGTTTAAAAATATAAGAAATATAGGCTATCTCCAGCGATTTTGAATGTGCGTAACTTTTGGATGTATATAAATAATGTTCAGGACCCTAATCTCTGAAAAAGACTATTTGATCCTGGGTGATCAGAAAAAAGGGAGTCTGTCACAGGAAACAGAAAATTTAAATAAAATGAGAGACATGATTTATATAAGGTTGGCAGTCATCTTGCAAGTGTTTTTGTGCTATTTAGGATATCAATAGTATATGCTCAGTGTTACTGCTCTGTTAGGAAATTTTACACTACAATTTTGTGGGATTTTACATTTCATATGTTGTTATGTATGAAACACGCTGCTCCCTGAGACCAAAAAATCAGTTTGTTGTGACTATTAGTTTAGTGTGATTTATTACCTTTGACCTTAAGTAAAGCTCATCATTAATAAAATCATATGTTTCTAACATCTGTGATGTTGTATATATTGTGTTTAGGTGGAATGGAGACTGGTGTCCGATGGATTCTCCTTCACAATATCCGTTGGTCAAGATTCGAAGGATCCCTTCCGTTACCAGGTTGACCAACCGTCAGCCATTTCTTGGCGTCTTAAAGTCCAGAATGTGCAAGTTTGGGCCTCAAATTCTCGTTACGTCTGTCAGGTCCTGATTGGTGACAAGAAATATGCTCGAGATGAGCGTACAATCCGGGTTGTAGGTAAGCCAGCTTGGAAAAGCCTGATAAGACTATACCTTACAAATATTTCTGGAATTAGGTTGTCCGTCTATCAGTAGATGCAACAATGTACCAACTACTACTGAATTGATATCAATGATTCTTGCTGGCTATAATCCTTACACATTGTAGATGTGAAAAAACTATATCAGGTTGAGTTATCTCCCCTTTTTTGAAAGTTATGCCCTTTTTGGGAACTGCTGGAGAGGAGGTATGTGGTCTAGTTTGACAAGTGATGTATGAAGTGGGTTATAAAATCAAGTTGGAGAGTTTGATCTAGTTTTTACTATCCATGTCGATGAAAAAAAAAACAACTTTTTATTGTCTTGTGTGAGTAGACAATGAGAATTTAGTGTCATAACATAAAAAATATAAAAGTTTTAGTAGCAGAAAAGTTTAGTAGTATGAGAATTAGAAGTGTAACTGAGTTTGATAAACTCTTTGTTTAATGTGAAATCAAAAACAAGAGGAGGATTTAGGTAGTAGGATTTTCTAGACAAATTATTGAGCTAAATTTCAATACTTCAACGAACATGCACTACAGGGATAGAGTGATTAAAGGAATTAAATAAAGGCAATATGTTGTCCCCTTATTTACATACACAAGTTTGTTTTTGTTGTCTTTATCTCACACTACATAACATGAAGTATTTAAAATGTTTGTAGAGTAGAAACTATTAGTGTCTTGGTGGTTGAAGACAAATAATGAAAATGATGTAAGACAAACAAAATACTTTCAATAAGGCAAGGATTTGTAATAGTTATGTACATGCCACCAAATGTTTCTATCCTTGGTGTCAGATTTAAGTCACAAGGGAAAGGTCCTACAAACATATGTGAAAGATTGATGAAGTTCAATACTGAATATTGACATTTCTGGTGTGTATTCTCATTTTGGTTTTACAAACAAAATATATGTTTTTAACACTTTAGCAACCATCAAGTCTTACAACATTTCCTGCCAAAATGGAAGTGACTGTTCTGTCAGTGTGTATAACATTTTAATGATTGTTATATTATAAAGTAGCTTAACTCAAAAAAATAGATGTAATAAATTCCCTTTTTGTTGTTAACCGGTGTGTAAACTTGAATTTTCTTTAAAGATATTTCAAAATTATACCCCAACATACGTCATTTGAAATATCTGTAAAAAATGCAGTTTATATACCAATAAATGAACAAAAAAGAAAAGCTTTACTTAAGTACTATTTATATTTTACAGATCCACCTAAGATCCTTGACCTGTTGACTGACAGTGATATGACGATCGAGGAAGGCAATCCATTGGCACTCCGGTGTAATGCTACTGGGGTTCCATTTCCAAAGGTGAAGTGGCAGAGGCTTGCTGGAGGTCTCCTACCCAGTGGTGGTGCTGAACACGCTGTGAGTACAGTAAAATCACACAAATATTGTACTGAACACACAATTTTTATACACCGCCACAGGTGGTCGTATATTGGCGTCATCTCCATCTGTCCGTCCGTACGTCCGTCCATTTTTGTGAATACAACTCCTCCTAAAATAATCATCAGATTTTCACAAAACTTGCTCAATGTCACTACTACAATGGGTAGATGTGCATGAAGGGGCGATTTTTCGGTTCTTTGATTTTTGTAAGATTGATGCCATTTATGATCTCAGGCCCCTGTCTCTTCCAGCTATGCTAACTGGTCTCACAGACTTCATTTTGAGCTTATGTATACAGACATGTTAAAAGCAATAATTAAAAGGACCAATCTTGATCTTTATATTTTGTGGCAGCATATAATGTGTCCATGGCACTCTTGTTTAAATAAGGTCACAAGAATAATGTAGGTCAGTGTGTCAGTACAATATATTCAGAATAATGTAGGTCAGTGTGTCAGTACAATGTATGTAAGTACAATATAGGTCAGTGTGTCACTATGATGTATGCAAGTACAATATAGGTCAGTACAATGTATGTAAGTTTAATATAGGTCAGTGTGTCACTATGATGTATGTCAGTATATCAGTACATTGTATGATTGTTACAATAAATATTTTCAAATATTTCATTAATGAAGGCAGAGACAAATCTGAAGCAGGGACATCAAAGGAACCCGCTTTAAAACCTATGTTTACAATGTTAAATAAAAATGATTATTTACTTACCTAGGTAAGCATGAAAAGAATGAAATCTCATACCTACTCAGCTGATCATGATTATTTTGTACTTCAGGATTTTACCATGAACATGGGTTTGGCCACTCCAAGTCACCGTGGGGCCTACAAGTGTATTGCTCAGAATGATGCTGGAAAGGACACACGTATCGTCGTCATAAATGTTGTCTGTAGGTATACAAATGAAGATAGTTAACACATAAAAATAGCTGCCATATTTCAGTTTGTCTAAATATCTCAAGTGATCATGATGGGTACAAAAGCTAAGGTTTGGCCATATGACCACATTTTGTGGTGTGAAAAAGTTTTTTTTTCATACAAATCATATTTTAAATATTCAATAACTTTAACAAAAAGTATAATAGGAAGACATATCAAACATATCTATCATTAACTAAGAAGATAGTGTGTATACTTTCATGTTTTGTTTGAAGTCAAGCCTCGTGTAGTACAGCGGCGTAGGATTGTATCCCAGGCTGTTGGGTACAGAACAGATCTAGAATGTACGGCTGCAGGCTACCCTATACCGCAGGAGAGCGAGTTTATTTGGACAAAGCTTGGCAAACCTGTAACAGGCAGCAAGTAAGTATACATAAAGAATTTTATTGGAAACTTCTGGTAGCATAAGTATCTACTACCTGGCATATTGGTCCAACAATGAGCCAATGTCTGGTAATAAGTCAATCCATTTCTGTTTTGTAAAATTTTAAACCTTTGTTTTTTCATTGTCCTGTAATAAGCCCACCCCTGAATTTTAGTTAAAAAAAGTTTGTTGACTCCTTGATATCTCAGGTCATATTGTATGACGTCTACTAATATGTTAGAACTATTGCATAATTTGTTGATGAGTGTAGCTTGATAGGTAAGTGAAAGTGTAATGGTAACTAGTCAAGGGGAATAACTCATAAAATATTGTAGTAAGAGCTGTTTGTTATTTTAGTTAAAAAAGAATTGAGAATTTAAATATATGGTAACAGAGTTGTATTTGTTTTTCTAGCTACAAAGTGACTTATATCCAAGGAGCATCTGACCGTGTCTTCAGCAAACTCACCATCTATAATGTACAGCTCTCAGATTTTGGTCTCTACAGTTGTACGGCTTCCAACATCAAGGGTGACTCTACCCCGGCTCAGATAGAACTGAAACGTAAGTGTAGACACAATCTGAACTCTAAAAATTTTATCAGTGTGTAAATTGAATAAAACAAAAGAGAAAATATGATAAAGAATGAAAATTTTGAATGTTGAAAGAACAACTTACATACTATACTTGTGTTTCATTATTTCACAGACAAAAATTAACATGGTCTTATAAACGTACCACAAAAAAGCAAAAAGACCATCCCAGAGGAAACAACCAACTGTATAGCATTTTTAACTGTAATGACAAATTCAAGTGGTACAAATTTTAAGGATTAACTGGCAACTAAAATTTTGAAGCAAAAAGGTTCATTTCTATGACAAAATATTTCAGTTTTTTTTCAAATTTTGATTCATCGAAAATGGATGAATTTTTTTTTACAAAAAATAACAAATATCGCAATATTGTAATTCAGGTCGATTAATGAAATTTTTTCTTCTTTTCAGAATCAAATACTCCCTCACCAGACAGTACAGGACAAATCCGCAGTGGTGCCGGTATTCTCAGTGTCAGCATCACAACAATTCTCACGCTTCTGCTGGTGTGTCTACTACAGAAAATGTAAACACCATCACGTCACTTAACTCAGTACACAGACACCCTGCATTTGTCTTCCTTCTACACCGTTCCATTTACTGGTGTAATCCATAGTGTGATTTTACTTTATATTGTTAAGGGTCACCTGACAAAAATAATTTATGATGTTAAATTATAATTAAAATTTAACAAAATTTAACTAAAATTTTGCAGGTCTATAAATTTTTATTTCATTTCCTTTGTAAATTGTAAAATTATCAAGTTATTCATTTGGATAAGGAGTAAAAAATTAATCCATATTTTAAGACAAGTTTTGCAATAAGATTGAATATGGTTTCAATTCACTACTTTAAGACAGCGATAAATTTCATGTAATTTGTCTAGATTTATAGAAATATTTTTCTTGGTGTGTAGTCGGATACCAGAACTGTATGTACTTCAGTAATCTTAATAAGGTTTCCAGGAGGTTTACACGTAACAAGTCTGGAGGTTTCATATTAATAACCAGGAACTTCCAAGCTATAACGTCATGTGTGGTAATGCATCTCAGAAATAAGTAACATTTTCAAAAATGATTAATATTTGTGATCATAAAATTATAATATTTTGACCAAAATATACACTAATTTTTTGCAGTAATGTATTAAAAAGTTTTGTCAAATTGGGAGGAAACTTATCCTAATTGTTAGAAAAAAATAGAGTGAAATACTTGTTTTTTATTTCAAGTTTTATTTTAAGAACATCTATTAAAAATCATTCATTTATGAAGTGAAATCTTCTCTATCATATTTCTCTGAACAAAACATCATTCATTAGTTATGCCAGAGAAAAACCTATCCTTTCTTTCACATAGCCATATGTATATAGATAAAATCATGTCAGTTGGTTGTAAACAAATTTTGTGAATATTAAGATTTGTAGATATTGTAAAAAGCTCCATATAATTATATTTTTCTAAGCAACATAATCATAGGTTGTATATAGGAATATTTTTTACCATTTCAAAACTTTAGATTTACCTTGCAAACTTTTTCAGGAATTTTTCACCTGTCATGTAGTTTTTTATTTGCAGAATAAAGGACAAACATTTTTCGTCAATTTTTTTCATGTGATTCCAAAATACTATTTCAAAAAGTTAACATGTCTCGTTATTTTGAGATAAAGAAAAAATTTTAATATGTGCATGAGCCCCTAAGGAAAATTATAAACCTGAAACTCAAGTGTCTGAGTTCCAAAAGACATTGGAGATAAAGATGAGCTGGATATACTATAAGGGGTGTATATTTACTTAATGTAGATATATGTCAACCTAGGCTACTATTTAAAAAAATATCAATGACATTTATAAATTCTGAAAAATAAAATCTTCGTAAAAACTTATTCTGCCTAAAAATATCAAACTACACACATTTCAGAGGTATTTCTTACTTTGTAATTATGCAATATACATTTATATAATGAAATTTTGAATGTTTGAAAGGTGAGTGAAAGAGTTGTATATGTAAAGAGTGCTTTTTGTATATAGTTCATAAAATGGTAAGATTTGAAGTGTCATATTTTATAAATGAACATTTATGTAATGGAACATTCCTAATTATCAATAATGTTTTTATATTTCATCATAATAAAATGTACTCTGAAGAGATATTACATTATTTTCATGACACGTGTACAGTGTCATATATCCGGGACCAAATCTTCATAAGATGCACAATAGCTTGATTTTTTTTTTCTTGCTAATTTCAAAAAGTAGAGGTTTGTGCTCCACCTACCTACCTCGGCGAAATCTTCTTTTGTAAAATACAAGTCTGATTTTGTGGAAATAGTTTAAGAAATTTTGACATTCTTTAAGAATCTACAATTTGCAGAGAAATTAAAACTTCAAATGTAGATATATTAGTTTAGAATTGAATAGTCAAAACTGACATACATAGCTCATGAAGATGTTTAAAATACCATGATAGCTGTAATGCAAGGAATTGGAAGTTTTTTTTCTATACAATCTAAATAAAGTGGTTTTTATGGGATATCATATGATTAATTTTGAAAAATTCAAACAAAAAATCTTGAAATTAACAAAAAAAAATCAAAGTGTTATAAGTTTGAGATGATAGAACTGTTAATTTTTTAATATTCATCCAGCCATATGTAGCCATCTTAACAAGTCAATAATTGTGAAGCTGTTGTGATTATTTTGTACTGTATAACATATCATTTGTCAAACAGAATGACTCATCATTTAAAAAATAAAGTGATCCAAATCCATGGGGTCAGTTTCCTGTTTTTGATTTCTAAATTTTATTTCAAATTTGTGTTTATTTCAAAAGTGTTGATAAGGGATTTTGTTTTCCCAATACATTTTACCCGTTCCCTTTTAGTCTTGTCTTCCAGCTGTCCGTAACATCCTACACCAATATCCGTATCACCTTATGTGACTGTTACGTGTAAACAGTATGCGGTTAGAGATGGCCCTCTCATGGTCACTAAAGGGGGATAACTGGGGTTCTTACAAAAATTTACCATTTTTAGTGATCCCGAATCTGGGATATCATTATCATAATTTTCACAAAATATTCTTCCTCTCTCTTTCATGCTTTATGATACAAAAATAAACACAAATTTTGTGTATTTGAAATCTTTGGGAATTGTTTTCTAGAAATACATGTAGTTAATCTATTATAACTTCAAAGGTGTTATTCACTTGTGTGTCTTTTTCACAGTCTATGAGACCACAGGTGATAGGCACTGCTGGTGGACTTTTAGTCCCCGAGGTAACCTGCATGCCAGGTTTTAATTCATTTGAATTGTACGTAATGTTCTAAAATGATCAGATGAAAGAAAATTTACGAAATGTATTGAATGAAAGGCCGCCTTCCCATTTAGAGTTTTACATTTTTTCAATCACTTAGGATTTTTTCTCAGTCGTCACATAAGACTGACAAGTCCTAGAAGGGCGAAACAGCAGTATAATGCAGCTTCCTTTATTGTCTTGCTCTTCTGTATCGAACTCGGAATCTAATATTCACTTCTGTTAATGTGTACACAAGGCAGTATTACCCGTCAGACATGTACTACACATCTAGACGATTGTCCGGGAAAGAACAATACTAAACAGGTAGAAGTAAGAGAAAACAGAAAGATCATGGCAGTCGTTTTGTTCTCACATTTGCTTCAAAATAAAAAAAAAACCTTCCCTTGAGTCACAGTGGAGTTGATCACCATTCCTTTCATCCTGACAAATCTGTAAGAAATGAACCCCTGACAACTGTTACCAAATGTAAAATAACCTTCAAAGATACATTGTAATAGTCCATGTTTTCTGAGAATGGTATTTGAAGATTTAAAAATTGTGGAAGAAAACCTTGTTCAATTTGAGATCGTGAAAAATGAAGTTTCATAATCCAAGATGATCGCCTGTCGAGAATTTTCCTTTATCATTCAGTTCCATGTTTACAAGAAATACAGATTCTACAACATCTGTTTGAATTTAACCAAGTCTAGATATTAATTGAAACAAAGGGCAAACAATCAAACTAAACGAACAGAATAGGAATGCTGATGAATTACAAACAGGTGCACTGAAATTCAAAATATAACTTTGGACAGTTAGCAAGTGAAAGTTTTGATGCAGTCCCTAACTGATGTAGCCTATAACTGGTGGGTTTATGAGGCAAATGTTCCTGGTGGTGTGCCTGCTGAACAACATTAGGAAGGTCCGTCGCATGTTATGCAGTGGAATTAGGGTGAAGTGTCTTATTCAGACACAGCCAAGACAGTATAAACAAGCCTATTTCCCCAAGAAACAATTCGTCCCGAATACGGATCGAACCTGCACGTTTCAAAGTTTCATTCGAGGTTTAATAAACTGTTTGCAGTACCGATATTTCACGGTCTCCTCCCTCTTCACCCCCTCCCCCCAATTGTGATATATGACCATGAAAAATATTGTAAAGGTTGGAATTGAAAAATGACCCATATTGCCTAGTTTGGTGTCTGATTGTGATGTATGACACACAAGTAAACGATCAATTCATTGTATTTTACGTCAGTGGAATGCACGTTAGTGCGTGTTAATCAATTTCAACGACACACACTCGCCCTCAAACAAAACGGGAAAAAAACAACAACCAAAAAACAAAATAAAAAAAAAACCCATAAAAAAAAAAAAAAAAAACAAGCAACAGGTTCGAATAAGGTTTGTATTAATCAATCACGTGATAAATAAAACATACACAGTACATTTTAGTCAAATAACTTGTAAATATATCAACGAAAACAAGGAAACAGCACTTATCAGGAATGTATTAACTCCGTAACATGAATAATATTAAACATTAAATTTAAACAACTGTCGCATTGAATTTCCAGCATACAAAATCTGTATTAGATCGTGTACATTTCTGAGATCCGTTACAGCTAAGTCGAGATAGACCATGATATGTAGTTTGATGACTTATAACATCCACACCTTCTTTAACTAATTTTGGCGTCAATCGCTCTGAAACTGTACATTTATTAGGCAAACCAGAGTTATAAATCATTATAAATGTATGATATATTATGATAAATGTATGTCGGAATCCCTTCTTTGACTTTATTAAAATTGTTAAGCCCATCAACATACACAAGCATAGAAAATGTTAACTGAAAATAGAAAGAACCCTCTCTTAAATCTGAAAAATTGTAAAAAAAACGTGTTGGAGATCTTTATGAAAATTTTGCAAAATGTTATAAAAGAAGATGAACAAACCACTTGTAAGTATAATGTAACCGATAAGCATGCCTTGCTGCTGTACAGAATATGGCATTTCAGTGTGATGGCACTGTAAAGTCGCACGCCAGAGCCCATCATCGGTGACTCCTTATCAAAGTTCTGGCTTCCATAAGCATCAAAGAAAACGTTCGACTGTTTTATTATGTTTTATGTTGATTTATGAATCTTTGTTACAACTTTTAAGTTAAATTAATACATTTTGGACGAGAAAATAACCAAATATGATCCGGCAATCTTTATCTCTCAAAGTAAAACTGTTTGAAAATATGGTAGAAATAACAAAAATAGAAAACATCAACATGTAAACAAAATCATAATTCAAAAACAATTAGATTGGCGAGTTTTAAAGAAATTAATTA